TTGTCACCCTGATCTGCGATTGCATCAGCGTTTAACAATTTCAGTCTACAAGGTGCATGCCTTCCGCGTAGGGAAAATCATATAATCCTCTATGCCTTCGAGAAGATACCACATAGAGTTCGTAAAATTTTGCAATGAATCCGGGCTGTGTCGTACATTTCATGAGGAGCATTGGTAAACGGACATGTGCGGTCCCGTATGCATGGACATCGCACGGTCTTAAAAATCTCATAATTAGAAACTTTTATAAAACCCACATAGACAATTTCTTCATGCATAAAATATAAAGACAATGTGATTTCTTACCAAATTTGCAAAAGAAAGCATATTTTTGTGCATGTTTTCTGTGGAATATATTTGAATTTATAAGACCATTGAAAATCAAAAGGAAAAATGCATGATATTAAAGTAGTCAATTTTTACCGAGTGTGGTTTCTGCGGGAGGTCAAAAAGAAGTGCATTCAAAAGCCGACATCCGTGTAAGTCAGAAATGTTATAGGGTTATGCTGTATGATAATCAGTATAAAAACCCCACTTAAGTAATCCTTCCTTATAGAAAACGCATTTCAGAATTTCGGCCAACATTTCATGAGATCGGTCACGCACTGTACTTGTCATAGTCATTTGTCCGGTAATATAATCTGTAAGGGGGTTCAAATTCCACAATCAGTAGGGACGGAAACAATTGCAAATTGAAAACGGTTATGTACAACCGCACTTATGTACACCAGTAAATTTGTATCCACAGTTCAGCCGCTTCCTATGATTTCATTGCATTAATAACTAATAGCAAATGCGCAGCATCTTGGATGCGTTAGCAAAATCACTGGAAAAGTGGCAAGGTCATACGGTTTATCACCCGAGATGGTTTTCTAAAAACGTGATAGAAAAGTGACCGAGAGAATTTGAAAATCGATGATTGCCGGGACACGGTTTGGTTTACCACATGACCTGGGAGTCTGCATAAGTCGACGTATCCTCTCAGTATTCGGGTGGCGCCAAATGTACGAGCTGTTGGTTCACAACAAAGGTTTCCGAATAAGAACCCGGAGAGTCCCTTATATGGCAGATGATTCGTGTCATGTCTCTGCATTTCCTAATGTGGCTTGTAAAGTTAATAAGATGGCACAAATTCAATGCTACATTTTATGAACTCCATATGATCTCCTATTAATACTGCAGATAACTGTGTGGTTTTTGTACGCGGAAAACATACGACTTGTAGTTTGGAAACCCTGAATGCAAATGTAGTGGCAGATCGGGTTTCAAAATTATTCAGGAATTGGAAACAATTTTTGGAACCCAAAGTGTACTCTTCTTTCAAGTATAAAATTGGAAGAAGGCGTGATTTTCTACCGAATGAGCAAAAGACAACATTTTTATGCATGTTTCCTCCGAAATATATCTGAATTTTTAAGGACAATCGAAATCAATGAGAAAAAGACGTGCTACTTAAGAAGTCATTTTTTACAGATTATTGTTTTCCATGCGGTCGATAAGAAGTTATTTGGAAAGCCGGCATCCTGAGGAAAACTGAATTGTTACAGAATTATGCTTCATGAGGATCAGATTTAAAACCCTACTTAATCAATATTTTCGAAAAAAAACGCATTTCGGAATTTCGGTTGAGATTTCATGACTTAGCCCACCTACTGTACCTTTCCGGTAGTCCAATACATTTGTACCCCCTAGTACGTGTGAATTTCTGCGCATATTTTGAGCTGTAATATGTTGACAAGCCATCCTTTGTCACATTAATTAAGATTATTTTCGAAAGGATACCACTTAGAAGCTAAGCTACGCCGAGAGTTTGATAATTATATTTTAATTATTGCTGTTCACTAAGAGCAAGGATTTTATAACGCGCTGTTTCGGAGCTGAATGTTCCAAAATTTTTCCCGAGAAAAACTGCCATGCTTTTGAGGACTTACTTGTACTTGGTACGGCTGCAATCATGCCTGATCTAGCCGGCCTCTATTATGCCCTGAATTGTACCATTCCACGCGCGACGATCTGCAGCAACAGATCGATACACTTCAGCCCACTTGCTTCGCCATCAACGGCGATCAAATACGGAGGATCCAAGAACCACCTCCAATGGGGTAACTATGCCGGGGCGAAGGCAGTAACACTGAGCTCCTAGGTGGGCGACGGAAAACATGCCCAAACCACCTCAGTCTTCTTTCTTGAATGCCCTGAGATATGTTTGCGATGTTGTCGCAGCGACTGCGGATCGTTTCGTCTGAGACGACGTCGGTGTACTTCAATCGAAGGATGGTCCTCAAGCAGTGGTGGTCAAATATCTCCAGTTTTCGTTCATCCATCGCGCGCACAGCCCAGCATTCACAACCATAAAGAAGGACAGACCGGACGGATGCACCGTACACGCGAATCTTAGTGGCGACGGGGATGTCACGTTGGATCAATAGGCATTTTCTAAGGCTTGAGAAAACTCGACGGGCAGCACCAATTCGGGAGACTATATCGCTCTTACACCGCCCACTCAGCAGCAATCTCGCCACGAGTTATTTAAAACTGTCTACTTCTTCATGTTGACAGCCATTAACCCAGCGAGGTGCCTTCTCTTGGTCAGAGATGCAGCTTGAAAACACTCTCGTCCTCCCAGCGTTTATGGATAAACCGACTGATATAGCAACCTCATTCACCCGCGGCACCGCAGACTGCGATATCATCGGTATAGTCGAGACGAGTCAGCTGGTGTCCCGGGGCAAATTCAACACCGTCACCTTCGTGTAGGTCTCTCCCAAGAATCCAGATAATAGCGTAGTTGAGCAGAACGGGCGACAGGATACAACCCTGTCGAACGCCAGATCAAAAAATGCATGGGTAGGGAAGACTGTTATAGACCAGAACTAGCGCAGTTGTGGAGCAGTAATAGGCCTTGGTCATGACGATTATTTTTGGCAGTACGCCATCTAGTGTCATTATACGCCACAGGGACTCACGATGGACTGAATCGAACGGGACAGCAAAGTCAACAAAGCAGGCGGCCGTCAGTCGCTGGTACCTATTGTGGAATTCGAGAATGTGCCTCGGTGTGAATACCTGGCCCGCACACCCAAGTCCAGCACGAAATCCGGCCTAGCTGAGCCTCATACTAGAGTCACGCATAGCCTGAAATCGCCTGAAAAGGACAATAGCGGAAATCTTCGCAGCAAAGTCGATGAGGCTAATGCCGCGATAGTTCTCGCATCTTGTCTGATTTCCCTTCTTAAGGATGCACGAGCCCCAGTCATCAGGAGCAACATCGTCTCTTTACTCCTTTTCAATCACCTCATAGAACCAGGGTGTCAAAGTGTCGAAACGAGACCTCCTCCCCGGGTGCCTTGTTGTTGCGTAGCCTTTGTATGGCATCGGCGAGTTCTCCTTCAGGGGGGGGGGGTCGTATGGCACTGCATAGATTGGAGAGAGAGGAAACTCCGCTGCAGATAAGAGCAAGAACGTGGTGGGTTGACCATCGAAGGTGAGATGGTGCTCGAATTGCTCACGTCAGCGCTTGACTTTGGCTGGGTTGTCAGCAGTAAAGCCGTCATTCACTTCGCGAACAGAATCACTCACCGATAACTTGGCGGATAAATTGGTAGTTTTCGAGTGCCACCAACGCTCGAGGCCTGTTCCATGGAGGTCGCTACTTCAGCCCAATATTTCTTCTAGGCATCCTTGACGACTTTGCCGTCGTCTTCCGGAGTTGGCGGAAGGACTCATCATTACGGGACTTGGCTTGAGCCGTCTGAGCAAACAACTGCAGGATTCTTCCGCTGACCTAGTCAATGCGGCGTCACTGGCCATATCCAAGAATGTCCTCGGCTGCCCCATAGACTGACGTTTTCGGTGACGACCACTGGTTACTGTCTTCTCCACTGAGTCGGGTCATAAATAAGGACCGGATTTCTCCGCTCATGGCTTCGGCGGTGCTGGTGTGTTGGATTTTTGCGACATCGAGGCGTCTACAACGTGGTATTTTGGGCGTGGATGAGATGTGAACTTTCAAGCCTATACGAACAAGGATATGGTCTAACCAATGGGTGTTACCATTCTCGGCACAATGGATTACTCTGCTATTTTAAACCGAGCTGCGGAACTTTAAGCTGGTTAGAATTTAGTCAGTCTGACTGACCGTATGACCTTTGTTATAATACCAGGTCGACAGACGTTTGTTTCGATGTTGGAAGCACATGTTGGTGACAAGCAGTCGGTTCTGGTCAGCGAAATTCAGCACTTCTTGCCACTGTCACACAGAGAACCAAGCCCAAGGCGGCCAATAAACTGGCAGTTTGTAGAGTCGCCAGGTCCAGTCAGATCATTCCAATCCCCGACAACGATCAGCAGATCGCGACGGAGGAGTCTTTCAACTGAGGCTTGCAGCTGCGAGTAAAACTTCTCTTTATCGCTCTCTTCGGCGGCTGAATTTGGTGCGTACACAGAGACGATGAAGATGTTCGTGAAGTGACCCTTCAGTCGGACGTAGGCCATCCGGTCATTGACTGGTTCTCAAGCAAGTAAAGCGAGGTCCGCTTGTCGCGATAGAACGATCGTCACACCGTGTCTGTCAGAAGAGTCGCGCGGATCACTGTGGTACAGGGTGAAGTGTGATTCGACTGCAGAGGTCTTTATTTCTCGATATCCTCAGGAAGTCGAACTTCAGGCAGACGGCAGACATCCACGTTGTACTGATCAAGGCTGCGCGCGGTTAGGCTTTGGCTACCAGGGTCCAGGGACGTTCGCACATTCCAGCATCCAGTAGCCAGACTACGTCCACGTTTGAGTAGCCCAGCTCGTATGCTATCCGCCTGCACCACTGGACCGGGATTGCGGAGCGCGTCGGTCTCCGTGGGCGCCGTAGCATGGGTCGTAATTCTGTGTCGGACATACTTTTTGAGGTTTCTTGGTAGTTTTGAGTACAGACCGGTCCCTAACAGCCGCTCGGATAGTTTGTTCGGGGTTGTCTCCCCTAGTGTTTTGGCTTAAAGGCCTAACCACAAGGCAGCGGTGGCAAGCAAACTTATTTAATGGCGGTTCACGGTCACCATGCCACAGTGCCGTCATCGAGCTTTGCGGCTTTTTTTGCAAGGCCTTCAGCATGCCAGACCGCAGCCCTGCACACCCTGGTAACAGTGTCGCTGCTGGTCCGCGACTGCTTACTCGACAGACCTGGGTCTGCTCATTTCGCTGCTAACCTTCAATAAAGGCCGCTGTGCCACCCCCCACCTGTGGACGCGGCGGATAGTCAGCAGCTAGGCCAACGGCAACCCGTCTTTCCGGAGTGAAACAGTCTGGATAAGCACACCTAACTGGAGTTACTCTGTGACGGGCTGATTCTGAGTCTGCTGTTTCGCAACGTTTTCCTACTCTTTCCAAAATCGTGTGGGCAAAATGTCGCCTGCGTTGAATCGACACAACACAACATTTTTAATTTCCGAAGAAATTAATTCGCGACTTTTGAGTAAATCTTTCAGAACACTGATGAATCGAACCCCTCACAACTGTGTTAAGCAGCAGCACTAGATCGGCAAAACATGCGTGCCAGGATATTCAACCAGTAACTTTACTGTCAGCATGGTAAACCGGTTAGTACTCGACACAAATCTCTTGAACTGTACAGTAGGTGGAGTAACTCATGAAATGTCAACCGAAATTCCGAAATATGTTTTCGTTTTGAAATGATTAATTAAGTATGATTGTAAAACTAGTCAGTCCGCAAAATAATTCTATAATATTTCCGTTACCTCGGGATGCCGGCTTTCGAATGAACTTCTTTTCGCCTGCATGCAAAAATACACTCTGCAAAAATGACTACTTAAGCAACATGCATTTTTCTCATTGATTTTCGATGCCCTTAAAAGTCCAATTATATTTCATGGAAAACATGCACAAAAATATTCCTTCTTTTGCTCATTCGGTAGACAATTACGTCCTCTTCTAATTTCAATCTCGAAGGAAGGGTATAATTCGGTTTCCAAAAACTTTTCCAATTTTCGAATAATTTTGAAGCGGTTCAACCGTTACACTTGAATTCTGGGTTTCCAAACCGCAAGGCATATATTTTCCGCGTACGAAAAACCACACATTTCTCTGCCGTAATAAAGGGGGACCATATAGGGTTCATAAAATTAAGCAGTGGATTTGATCCATATTGCTAACTTTACAAGCCACTTTGGTAAATGTAGAGACATGACGGTTTATGTACGGCCAGTTCATAGTATTTAAAAGTCCCACAATTAGAAACTTTTTCAAAACCAAATGATTCACTTCCTTTGAGAATACAATTAGAAGAGGACGTAATTGTCTACCGAATGAATAAAAGAAGGAATATTTTTATGCATGTTTTCCAGGAAATATAATTGAATTTCTAAGGACATTGAAAAACAATGAGAAAAATGCCTGCTGCTTACGTAGTCATTTTTTACAGAGTGTATTTTCTGCATGCAATCGGAAGGAAGTTCTTTCGAAAACCGGCATCCTAAGGTGACTGAAATATTATAGAATTATGTTGCAGGCTGACTAGTTTTACAACCCTACTTAATTCATCTTTTCGAAAGGAAAACGCATTTCGGAATTTCGGTTGACATTTCATGAGTTAGCCAACCTCTGTAGGTGTTTGTTTTTCATACGTTTTTGAGCTATATTGGCCGTCTGATTAATTTGCTTTCCAGCGGAGTAAATCTGCTATCCTGACTTCCTTCCACTGGGAATTCAGGATAAGGCTCCAGACTGATAACGGAATAATTTAATACTTTACATTCCCGACTTTGTGGAGAGTCTTAATTATTTCGTTCACATGTACCTTCCTTTTTTCTGTTTGATTCAGTGCTAGCAAAGGGTTTTCTTCTCTTTGAGTCATAAAAATCATTAAAATCTAGATACAGCTTGGGACAGCTGTCCCTTCGTTGATCTGTCTGCACAGGAGTTCAGTAAACGGAAACTGAACATGTTTAAAGCTAAGCTCCGGCAGGTTTGGGGGTTGTTTCAAGTATCGGCGGAGTTTGAGACGTATCGCCGCGTGAGGCATCGACGGTTTCATCAGATGTCATACTTCCAGTGAAAAGATACTACTTTGGTAGGGATTCACAGCCGATTAGCATGAAAAGTACGTTCAGGTCACTTCATATTAGCCAGGATGCTGGCCTTTGACCGACTGTCTTTTCAATGTCTGTGCTAGTTAGACCTGCAAAACACTCGCCCGCTGGATTAGCACGCATAGTTCGAAATTAAATGTAAATGCCTACGGAGGACATAAACTTTCAACTCTTCATATCCCCTTTTAAAATCTACAATTCTTTTTTAGAAAACCTGCTAATGGCCCTCGATACTTTAAAAAAGAATGCGGGATTTAGATTTTCAAAGCATGTGATGCGCATTTTCCTCCAGTTATTTCGCATATCCGGTCTACTGGTGCGCATAAAACACTTCCGCCAACTTCCCTAGTGGGACTTCGCATGGTCCCACCGTAGTGGAATCGAATTTGAATCACGCTAACTTTACCTGAGTTGGGAGCTGTCCTCAGAACCAAACCAGAAGCGCCCACAGCTGCAGGGTACAGTGGCATTCCGGCGGAGGTGAGTCAGCTTATTTCAGAAGAGTTCTCCGCTGACGCTTTTCGGCTACTTGTCGCATTAAAACAAGTTCCTGTCTTACCTCAACTAAACATATGCATACCCGAGTGAAGAAATTTGGGGTTAAATGACATTACCGACAAAGACAAGGGAGACTGGAGTGACAATTTCTGGCTTATTAGCCGTCCTCAGTCAGTCATATCCAACCCCGAAGTGTGAAACACCCGAGGCTCGAACTCGCGACCTGTTAGTTAGAAGTCGACGGCTCTAACCACTGGGCCACGAACCCATTGCCCTGTCGGTTTCGTTCGGGAATATACAATGGTAGGGGCCGCTCACCGATCGTTCTTACGGAACGCACTCGTTCCGTTGTGCCTTATGGGCTCTCTCTCGAGCCCAACCATTGGGGTTGTGCACGGAAATAAGGAGAGCCACTTCCTCCCCCCCTCCGCCTCCTGTTAGCAGTGGCTTTAATTTAAATTCCAGGGGTACTTATTCTCGTGTCCTAACTTCAGCCCTAGGTTTTCTAACTCCAAATGCAACATTAACTCTAAATCTGCAAGAATTTAATGCAACGGTACCTGTAATAAGGGTCCCTTGTTCCCGTGCATTGCCGAAATTTGATTGCTAGAAGATGACAGGAACGTCCACTATATTCAAGTTAATGTCTTTTAGTACGTCTAAATTGACATTAATGTTGACATATTCATGGCACGCCCGCCAGCAGGCGTAATTTGATTTACAATGGACATAAATGCTACAGTTTTATTAAGAAGTAGTAACAATAACGAAAAGTTGTGTGTGTGAGCGGGAGTGGCCATTTCCGACTTACTATCAGTCCTTCACGGGTGTTTACGCAGTTAAGAGGGCCTTATATGTTAGTCCTAATATTTGGTTATGATTAGAAACAAACGGTATGTGGAAGTTAGAGGACTTAACCGAAAGGTCCTAGCAGCTGCATTATGTGTTAAACTTCAAGAAGCACTGGCTGAACTTGCAAGTATCCATTCAGAGAAAGGACGCTATTTAGGTGGGTTTACGAAGCCTGCTAATATGAATCACATTTTGGACGTAAATCTCACTCGTGAGGGGAGCGCTTTTCCTTATTGATTTTCGATACCGCAACAAATCCTAGCATACGTCATAAAAGGGATGCTCAGTAATGCGTGTCTCGCCTTTTTTGCCGGAAAATATGTGTTCACGGGAGTGGGGGGAATTCTCAGATCCCAGTAGAAGCTTTACCTCGTTAAATTCTAATCGAAATTCTTAAATTCGTTTTGAATCCGAAAAAAACTTACTTAAGTAAGGTTGCCATATTAGTTATCATGTTGCATTATGCAAAGACATTTCAGTCACGACGAGATGTCAGCTTGAGAACGAGCTTGTTGTCGACCACCTGCGTAAATCGTAAAAAGTGACTGCTTGTATAGTATGAATTATCCATATTGATTTTCGATATCCTTATATATTTAAATACATTACATAAAAACATGCACAAATACATTTTCTCATTTAATCATTTGTCGGCAAATTATGTCTTCTCTAAATTTTCTATTTGAATAAAGAGTATCAGCTGGTTTAGAAGAACTTTCTCAATTCCTGAATAATTTTGAACCCAATTTGCCGTTACACTTGCATCCAGGGTCTCCAAACTATAAGCTGTATAGTTTTCATGTTTTACATAATTTTTGATGAGCGTGGATCATGCTGTTCACTTTGTAAGTAGTATTGTTAAATTTACTGATGCGATGCTGCATGATTAGACATTTCATGGTCTTGGAATTCCCCCGATTGTAAAATTTTTTAAAACCGGATGATACTCTTTCTTCAAGTAGACACTTTTGAGGAGACATCATTTGCTAACAAATGAGTAAAGAGGAAAATGTTTTGTGCATGTTTTCTATATAATGCATCTGGATA